GCAAACCAAGATGCCACTCTGCCCGCACATTTTTCCAGGAAATGTCATCACAAGAACTAATGGCATCACCCACAATATTAGGGGGACCTTCACGTGCTCATCCTCCAATGTGACTTATGGCATACTATGTCATCAATGCCCATCAGTACTCTACATTGGGCAAATAGGCCAGTCCCTATGCCAGAGGATAAAAGGTCATAAATCAGACATTAGAAATGGGAAAACTGATGGCAGAACATTTCAGTCTCCCTGGGTATTCCATCTCAGGCTTCAGAACAGTGGTTCTGGAACAAAAGAACTACAAAGGTAGATTGGAAAGAGAAACAGCAGAATTGGGATTCATCTATAAACTGCACCCCCTCAGCAATGAATTGAACAGAGACAATGGCTTCCTGGCTCACTAGACACATTTCAACACTATCTGACCCCATCCTCATGGGGACATCCTACACTCACTATTCCCCCACCTACAGGCTAGTTTCCAAGGCCAAACTGGTCTTACCACCTCATTTCCATACCCAATGGCTATGGCTTTCTCCATCAACTACCATAGTTAAAACTGGACTTGCTACTTCATTTCCATACACAAAGGATTTTGCATTTGAATTGACATTTTCACACACCAAGGGCATATATATGTCTGTCTCTGGCTTCCAATCCCCCAAAAGCATCTGAGGAAGTCTACGAAAGCTCATGCTGCCAACTTATTTCTTTCAGTTAGGGGGGTTGCAGACTGCCAGAAATAGTGCAAATTGAGTCCACTTTTAGGGTTAGGTTTAGGTTTAGGGAATCATGGGAACTCTATTTTATTGTGGCACCAGAGCTCTTTGACAGAGACGGCTCAATGTCTCAGAAAAAAAAACAACAATTCCCATGACTCCCTAGCACTAACCCTAACCCTAAAAGTGGACTCAATTTGCACTATTTCTGGCAGTCTGCAACCCCCCTTAGTCTCAAAGGTGCTACAAGATCTCGCTACATACTGATTCTACAGACTAACACTGCTATATCTTTGAATTCTAACAAAACTGCAGAGTTACTAGCCTTTGCAACTATCTCATATTGCATTCCAGTTTCTGCAAGGATGATTCCAACAAGGAGAGCAAGAGCAGGTGCCAACCAACATTTTCTTCCTTGTGGAGACCAAATGTCCTAATGAATAAAAGGTCCACTTTGGCACAGGGCCCTATCTAGCACATACCTACATTTCACAATAGAGGAAGAAAAATGGGAAAGGCAAAGGAGCTGTCATTAAATAGAGCAAAAAAGCAATTTAGTAGAAAGCTGTCATTTTTTGTTTCCCTCCCCACCTATTCGTAGTAGCATTTTTCCTAGAGGTGGGAAGGATGCAACCTTACAGAGGTCATTGGACTGCAGCTCCCAGCATTCATCATAGTTGGCTTTGCTGGTAGGTGCTGCTGGGAGTTTCAGTTCAGCAACATCTGGAGGACCTCCTGATTCCCATCCTTGCTTTAAGGCTTACATCTCTATTGGAAATTATTAGGAAAGGAACTAGTCTTCTCTCGCTGTCCTTCTACTGGCCGATGCAGACGGCTTTTTAATTGGGGTATGTTGTATTTTTTTCATTTTGACAGCCTTTTAAAACTGCTTTAAATGAACATATTTGAAGGGTTTTTGTGTGGGTTATTGATTGTTTAATTGTATTTTGTTTTAACTAATACTGTGAGACACCTGGGTCCCACCTTTGGAAAAAGGAGGGAGTTGAAATAGATAGATAGATAGATAGATAGATAGATAGATAGATAGATAGATAGATAAGATAGATAAGATAGATAAGATAGATAAGATAGATAAGATAGCTTACTCACCAGCATTTGTTATTATTGTGTGCCTTCAAGTCACTTTCAACTTACAGCAGCCCTAAGGCAACCCTATTATAGGGTTTTCTAGCCATGTTTCTTCAGAGGGGGCTTGCCATTGCCATCATCTGAAGCTGAGAGAATGTGACTTGACCAAGGTCACCAGCGGGTTTACTTGGCTGAGCCAGGATTAAAACCCTGGTCTCCAGAGTCACAGTCCATATAAACTTCTTATTACGGTATATAAACCTTTGGAACACTGTTTATGGTTGTGGATGGAAATCTTTTTGGATTGAGAGATTCCAGAATCCCCCATGTGGTTTTTTTGTGAATTTAAAAAGAACTTTTCCAGCCTCTTTGGTTCACCCCATTTTACCAGGATGCACAGGAATTTTCCTTCCTCGCAGAATACTGAAATTAAATGCAATCAGCAGCAGATCATCCAAATGCATTTCTTCACACATTGCATCGCTGCATTGTTATTTTATATGGATGATCTGCCACAAAGGTTGTCAAGAATAACCCCTGACTTACATGGCTTTAAAAGGGTGGGGGAACTGACACACTGATAGAGGGATTGTTGTGGTGCTGAGTTCTTTTGTATTCACTGTTAAGCCAGTTAGCCATGCCCTTTTCCAATCTATCCCACCCATCCTATTCAACCATACTTTTCATGACCAATATGTCCATTTCAAGACCCAGTATGATGTAGTGGTTTGAGCATTGGACTACACCTCTGGAGACCAGGGCTCTATTCCCAGCTTGACCATAAAACCCACTGAGTGACCTTGGGCAAGTCACATGCTCTCAGCCTCAGGGGAAGGCAGTGGCAAACCTCCTCAGAACAAATCTTGCCAAGAAAACCCTATGATAAGTTTGCCTTAGAGTTGCCATAAGTTGGAAACAACTTGAAGGCACACAACAACAACAACAACAACAACAGAGAGAGAGAGAGAGGGGGGGGAGAAAGAGAGAGAGTCATCATGGTGTAGTGATTTGAGTGTTGGGCTATGCCTCTGGAAACAAGGGTTCAAATCCCTGCTTGGCCATGGAAACCCACTGGGTGACCTTGGGTGAGTCACATATTCTCAGCCTTAGAGGAAGGCAAATCCAGTCTGAGCAGATCTTGCCAAGAAAACCCCTGATAGGGTCGCCTTAAGTCAGAAACAACTTGAAAGCACACAGCAGTAACAGCCCCCAGAATTACCACAACTACTCTCATATATCAAGGTGATGGGGATTCTGGAAGCTATAGTCCTGGGGGAAAGAAAACCTCCCAAACCCTGTCAAGACTCCTTAAGTGGGATGGTGGGAGAGACTTAGAAACATAGTGGGACAACCTGAAGGGGAAAATAAGGGAGGGAGGAAAGTCTCTGGCACTTACCTTGGAAGGTCCACCTGGCCATCAGGCAAAGGGTCACAATCCCTAGTTGTACACTTTGTCTGCAGGCTTGCAGACAGGTGAGAGGCCTCATCAGAAAGGCCAAAATGCTTGAAAAAGCTCATTTAACTACGTATCCAGAGCCACAGGTCAAATTCCAGGTGTATGCTGGTGGAGGCTGTGATGGACAGAAGCTTTGCCCCCTTCCTCCTCTTCCACATGCTTCTCCTTCTCCTTCTTCTTTTTCTGCAGGTGCAGCCTTCACGAATCCCAAGGACTGTGTCAGCAGCTGGAGGCTCACCACAGCTGAGTCTTCTTGTGCCTACATTTGCTTCCTCCAGAATCCACTAAACGTTGGTGGCAAAAGGCTGGCCTTCTGCCTCCGCTCACGCCCTCAGACTCCTCTGATATCAATCCAGGATATAATTGGCTCTAGCGAAGGAATGAGCCAAAGGAGAGATACCACAACACAACGGAGAACAGTGTAAATACTCCTGCCAGCCAGGAAATGAGCTCTGCAGGATGACGCGCCATCGGTGCCAACGTACGGCACTTTCTGTTCTGGCTGCTCAGGCCGATTTAGACTTGCTTCTGTTGTGTGTCACCCATTGGGACTGAGTTTCAAAAACATCTGGAAAGTGCCGCTGGTTCAAAGAGGATGAATTTGGGTGGAACCAGGCATTTTAGTCATATCAGGCATACCCTCCAGCTGTCCCAGTTTTGACAGGGAGGTGTGCTTTGGGGGCCTTCATGTTACCTGTTGATTTATGGAGACCCCCTGAATCCCATACAGTTTTCTTAGGCACAGAATACTCAAAGGTGGTTTTGCAAGTTCCTTGCTCTGACAGGAAGATAGCTGACAGCAGCTTGGTATTCACTGGAAGTCTCCCATGCAAGTATTAACCAGGGCTGACCCTGCATAGCTTCATGGAGTCGCCATAAGTGAACAGGTAACTTGAAGGCACACACTGTTGTGTGCCTTCAAGTCTTTTCTGACTTAATAAGGCAAACCTATTATTGGGTTTTCTTGGCAAGATTTGTTCAGAGGAAGTTTGCCATGACCTTCCCCTGAGGCTGAGAGTGTGTGACTTGCCTAAGGTCACCCAGTGGGTTTCATGGCCAAGCTGGGAATTGAACCCTGGTCTCCAGAGTCAATGTCCAACACTAAAACGACTATGCCATGCAGTCATAGGGCCTTTGCAGACTGCCAGAAATAGTGCAAATTGAGTCCACTTTAAGGGTTAGGGTTAGTGCTAGGGAATCATGGGATTTTTTTTCTGAGACATTGAGCCTTCTGTGTCAGAGAGCTCTGGTGCCACAATAAAATACAGTTCCCATGATTTCCTAACCCTAACCCTAACCCTTAAAGTGGACTCAATTTGCACTATTTCTGGCAGTCTGCAAAGGCCCATAGTCCCCTTTAATCCTCTGCCGTCCCACTTTTTCAGCTGCATTAAAAACATCCTGGTTTCTCTCGCCTTCCTCCTCCCACTTTCTCCCTGTGTCTTTAGCTTGCTTCAGTTGCTTCAAATTGAGTTCAGAGTGTGAAAGTAATTTGCACTCAGTTAACTAAACTGCAGGGAGAGGAGAGGAAGTGGCAGAATCTTATCTTTCCTGGCAGGTTTAGCAAACTGGTACAGTCTCTCTTGTATGTGTGTTGTGTGCTTTCTAGTTGTTTCCAACTTACAGCAACCTATCATGGAGTTTTCCTGGCAAGATTTGTTCAGAGGGGGTTGGCCATTGCTTTCTGTTGAGGCTGAGAGCATGTGACTTGCCCATGGTCATCCAGTTGGTTTAATGGCCAAGAGGGAATTGAACCCTGGTCTCCATAGTTATAATCCTATGCTCAAACCACTGTGCCATGCTGGCTTTCTAGTGTCTCATAACCTGTGGTGCCCCCCCCCCCGCATTGATATGTTTTGCCATCTTGGCAACACTCTGGTATTGCTTGACCACACGTGTCCAGTTTTCATCTGTGAAATGTTGAAGGGTATTATCCTGCCAATACCTTCTTATAGGGCTGATGCATGTCTGGGGTCCCAATCTTACCTCTGGAGTTCCTAAGAAACTACACAATTATTAGCACTTTGATCCCACATGAACTGTCATGGTAACACCATGTGATTTGTAGGATGGTGAGGTTCGAGAGCTCTCTTTCTTAGAATTCTAGGTACACCTTCCCTAAACTGCAAATCCCAGGAATTTATAAAATGTTGCCATGGCAGTTAAAGTGGAACCATAATGCTATAATTTTATAGTGTGGAAGAACACCAAAAGGCCAAGCCTCCATTTTCATTCCACTATCATTTGGTGATCACCCAGATTTTGTATGGGATTTTGTATGGGATTCTAAAATGCAGAAATGCATTTCCTGAGGCTTAGTTGTTGTTCTTGTGTGCCTTCAAGTTGTTTCCGACTTATGGTGACCCAAAGGCAAATCTATCATGGGGTTTGCTTGGCAAGATTTGTTCAGAGGGGGTTTGCCATTGCCGTCCTCTGAGGCTGAGAGAGTGTGACTTGCCCGGTGGGTTTACATGACCAAGCCAGGATATGAACCCTGTTCTTCAGAGTCATAGTCTGATGCTTAAACCACTACGCCACAAAAGTGTTATATTTACCGTAAATATGCTGGTATTTTTGATCCCACACCTTTGGACTCACATACATCACGGCCCCTGTAATATTTGCAAGTGATCCTTTTCTTGATCCAAGTCAAATTTGTTAAAATGTCCCGGACTAAGCATAGATAATCCACCACAGGTCTTCTATGCAATTCTTGGGAAGGCTTGGTCTTTGACCTTGGATGGAGAAGTGATTAGAAATCAATAAAGTCTGCATCTTTAGATTTTTTGGGGGGGGGGTCTTTTTATTTCAGAGGCAGCATGGTGTAGTGGTCAGAGCATTTGACTACAACTCTGGAGACCAGAGTTTGAATCCCTGCTGGGTCACCTCAGGCAAGTCACACTCTCTCAACATCAGAGGAAGGCAAAGGTAAGCCCCCTCTGAACAAGAAAATCCCATGATGAGTTTGCTATAAATTGGAAAGGACTTGGAAGACACACAACAGCAAATCTTTTTATTTCTAAGAACTCCAGACTTCCTCTGCAAACCTCCCTGGAATTGAATTTAGCCTTTGTTCCGAAAAAGGTTCCTATACTGTTCTGATCTGGCAGGGACAGTCCCAGTTAATTCTCTGTCATACTACTTTCTAAGCTGCTTTTAATATGTCCCAGCTTCTTTTTCCTCCTCCTACTTTCTCCCTTTGTCCTCAGCTTACTTCAATTGCTGCAGAAGGTTCAAACTGCAAAAGTAGTTTGCACTCAATTAACTCAGCAGGCTGGAGATGAGAAGATGGGAAGTAACGGCCTTCCCAGGAGGCTCAGGCAAAAGCAAACTTCTGCGGCATCTCCTAGCTTGTGTGTTCTTCCAAATTAATAATGTTTGCCAACTTTTGCATCATTTACATTTTGATATCCCAGATGGAGCTTGGCCACATGTTTCCCAGTTTACCGGAAGATATGGATTCCCCTGCTTTGCTTTACTACCTTCCTTGGCTTTCAATTTGTTTCTGTGCACAAAGTGTGCCCTGAACAAGCACTAACATTGTATATTTGCCTCCTTCACAGTTTTGTCCCATTTTAATAATTTAAATTAGATTTAATCACAATTTAAGGCTGTATAGACATCCGACCATGGTTTCCTGTTTTTGAATGTAACAACTAACTGGGTTTATATAAACCAGGTTATATAAGGAATGGAAGAGAATACGGAGAACTTGGAAGGGATTTGGACTAACTTTCTCAGAATGCACCAGCCTGCATGGTCACTAACCGTTTGACTGGTGGATTCTGGGAGTTTTAGTGCAAAAAGAAATTCTTCCCAGCTTTGAAGATGAGGGATGCTGCTGTTGTATTGTTTGTTCCCAGATGCTGCAAAATGGTTTACTAGTCTGGGAACTGAACATCCAAAACAGTCCAACAAATAACTATCATTAATTGACCAGCTGTCTCCTCTGGGTCATAAGGACGAAAGTTTGAAAGGACGAAAAAGAGTGCACAAATCCAGGCCTTATGTTTTGCATGTAAAGCAGGAGTGGGTGATTCTGTAACAAGCTGACTAGCTGGACTATAACTCCCATCATCCCTCACCGTGGTCCTTGTGAGCTCTGACTGGTGGCAGTTAGAATGCATTATAGGTTTCTCACCCACAATACAAAGTGAAATCCCTCACTGTGGGATTTCTTTAGCCCTTTCTCTCATCCTTCAGGGTTCTCAGACTAGATGTCCCATCATCCTCAGCCAGCTTGGCCAGGATCTGAGGAGTTATATTCCAACATCTGGAGAGCCAATGTTGGGATAGGCTGCATTAAACTCTAGTTTACTGTTGTCCAAAGAATGTTTTTCTAATGGATTATTCACATGATGGCACTAAACTGGACTCAGGAGGTTCTTGTCCATTTGAGAGAAAATAATGTTGTTTTTTTATCTGGCTTCCTGACCAGAATGCCCTCTCAGCCGTCTGTGTCAAACATTATATGAGACTTGAACCACTTTAGGAATTATTTTAGTCATTTACCCACTTAATCCATCAGGGTAAGGTGACTGAATAATGGCTGCAAGGATTCCTTGGCTGCCTGCCGCACTCCTAAATTAAACAAAAGTTCTTCCAGGCAGCCTATTTTACAGCCAGGAAAGAAATATAAACAGACACATTTTAGGAATGTAACCATGTAAAAAGGCTGCTGACACCTCATGCTGGAACTTTCTGAAACTCATCTGTATAGATCCCTAATTTAATAAAGCAACCTAATGATGGAAAAACCTATAAATTTCTCTCTCTCCTGCATTTAAATGGCTTAAATTTCAAGTCATTTGTGTTCTAAATGAGGGGAGTTTCTAATTTTGGACAATTTGTGAAAAATGAACACCCTCCCTTTCAATTTGGACTGGTCAAATCCGGACAGAACAGTTATTCCCAGCATGTAGATGTAATGTAGGTGTAATGGTTTGAGTGTTGGACTAGGACGCTGGGAAACTAGGGTTCGAATCCCTGTTCGGTCATGGAAATCCCCAGGGTGACCTTGGCCAAGTCACATTCTCTCAGCCTCAAAGGATGGCAATGGCAGACCTTCCCTGAAGAAGCTTGCCAAGAAAACCCTATGATAGGTTTGCCTTAGAGTCGCCTGAGTCGGAAACAACTTCAAGGCACACAACAAACCACAAAAAGGACTAGGTTGTCCCAGCCTGCATTTTTATTTTTTATTAATTTAGATGGGAAGCCACTCAGAAAATAATTATTCAACACTAATGTGGAGGAATACAGAGATTCAAACCCAGACCTTCAAGAGTTAAGCATGCAATGCTCAGGGCCTGGTAGGCAAATCTTGTCAATTTTGCTTCCATTCACATTCAACTATTTCAAATGTCGGTTTCTTTCCACCTGGGATATGAAGACGTTTGTCAATGATAGTATATTCTTGTCAAAAATGAACTATATTCTCGCCCATCCTAACCATAATTTGTCAGTTTGAGCTGTGGCTCTCCCATGCCACCTGCTAGAGTTGATGTAATGCTGAGATGATGCTGCCGGATCCAAGTGAAAGGATCATCTAAACCAGTGATCTTGTCCAGATATTTTGGACTTCAACTCCCAGAAGCCCCATTCAGCAAAACAGTTGAGAGGAATTGCAGAAGGTGAAGTCCAAAATTTCTGGAGACCAGAGTTTAAGAACCACTGATCAGATCAGGCTTGGGTTGCCAATATTCTGTGGCAGTGGAGAGGAATACCATATCATCAAGGTTATAAATCAGCTCTGGATTTGTCCACAGTGCTAAAGCTATTTTGAAAAGGTGACAGCACATCCATGTTGTTTTTATAGAAATTTAAATTTCAGAGTAAAATCTGGAGCAGATTCACTGGTCTCACTAACATTGGTGCCATGGAGCTACCTCTGCCAATACTGGATAGCCAAAAGCTTGGGAAAGAAACAGCACTTGCATGTTGTTTGTTCCACTTTCTGAAAAACACTTCCTACTTAGGGCTACCAGACTGAAAACTGGAGATGTTTCCTATACCTTTAAGGAATTGTGCAGAAGAGGGGAATTCAGCAGGTATTGCTTGTTAGCTGGTTGCATACTAAGCAGCACTTGCTGAAATTCCCTCTTCTTCACAACCCTTAAAAGTACAGGAAACATCTCCAGTTTTCAATCAGGCAGCTCTAAAAGTCCTGGCAGCTGATAAGGAACAGATATCCTTGTTTTACAGCAGGGGATGAGGAACTGTGGCCTTTCAGGTCTTCTTTGCACATTAATCTCTCATCATTGGCTCTTTTTTCATATAA